AATAAATAAAATTGAGAAGAATAAAACAATAGAAAAAAATCAATGAAACCAAGAGCTGGTTCTTCGAGAAAATAAACAAAATAGATAAGCCTCTAGACTGACTTATTAAGAGAAAAAGAGAGTCAACACACATCAACAGAATCAGAAATGAGAATGGAGAAATCATGATGGACCCCACAGAAATACAAAGAATTATTAGAGAATACTATGAAAACCTATATGCTAACAAACTGGAAAACCTAGGAGAAATGGACAACTTCCTAGAAAAATACAACCTTCCAGCACTGACCCAGAAAGAAACAGAAAATCTAAACAGACCAATTACCAGCAATGAAACTGAAGTAGTAATCAAAAAACTACCCAAAAACAAAACCCCCGGGCCATATGGATCACCTCGGAATTTTATCAGACATACATGGAAGACATAATACACATTCTCCTTAAAGTTTTTCAAAAAATAGAAAAGGAGGGAATACTCTAAAACTCATTCTATGAAGCTAACATCACCCTAATACCAAAACCAGGCAACGAGCCCACCAAAAAGAAAACTATAGGCCAATATCCCTGATGAATGTAGATGCAAAAATACTCAACGAAATATTAGCAAACCGAATTCAAAAAATACATAAAAAGGATCATACACCATGACCAAGTGGGATTCATCCCAGATATGCAAAGATGGTACAACATTTGAGAATCCATCAGCATCATCCACCACATCAACTAAAGGACAAAAATCACATGATCATCTCCATGGATGCTCAAAAAGCATTCTACAAAATTCATCGTCCATTCATGATAAAAAAGTCAAAAAAATTGGCATAGAGTGCAAGTACCTCAACATAATAAAGGCCATATATGATAAACCCACAGCTAACATCATACTGAATAGCGAGAGGCTTTAAGCTTTTCCTCTGAGATAGGGAACAAGACAGGGATGCCCACTCTCCCCACTGTTATTCAACATAGTACTGGAGGTCCAAGCCATGGCAATTAGACAAAACAAAGAAATACAAGGAACCCAGGTTGGTAAAGAAGAAGTCAAACGGTCACTTTTTTTAGATGACATGATATCGTACATAAAAAAACCCTAAAGACTCCACCCCAGAACTACTTGCACTAATATCAGAATTCAGCAAAGTTGCAGGATAGAAAATTAGCACACAGAAATCTGTGGCTTTCCTATACACTAACAATGAACTAACAGAAAGAGAAATCAGGAAAACAATTCCATTCACACTTGCATCAAAAAGAATAAAATATCTGCGAATAAACCTAACCAAGGAAGGGAAAGACATATATCCTAAAAACTACAAGACTCTCTTAAGAGAAATTAAAGAGGATGCTAACAAATGGAAACTTATCCCATGCTCCTGGCTAGGAAGAATTAATATCGTTAAAATGGCCATCCTGCCCAAAGAAATATACAGATTCAATGCAGTACCTATCAAATTACCAACAGCACTCTTCAATGAACTGGAGCAAATAGGTCAAAAATTCATATGGAACCACCAAAGATCCCGATAGCCAAAGCAATCCTGAGAAGGAAGAATAAAATGGGGGTAGGGGGAATCTCACTCCCCAAGTTCAAGCTCTACTACAAAGCCACAGTAATCAAGACAATTTGGTACTGGCACAAGAACAGAGTCACACACCAGTGGAACATAATAGACTCCAAACATATACGGTCAACTAATATATGATAAAGGAGCCATGGACATACAATGGGGAATTGACAGTCTCTTCAACAGATGGTGCTCACAAAACTGGACAGCTATATGTAAGAGACTGAAACTGGATCACTGTTGAACACCATACACAAAAGTAAATTCGAAATGGATCAAAGACCTGAATGTAAGTCATGTATCCATTAAACTCTTAGAAATAAACAGGCAAAAATCTTATGGACATAAACGTGAGTGACTTCTTCATGAACATATCTCCCAGGGAAAGGGAAACGAAAGCAAAAATGAACAAGTGGGACTATATCAAGCTAAAAAGCTTCTGTACAGCAAAGTACACCATCAACAGAACAAAAAGGTATCCTACAGTATGGGAGAATATACTCATAAATGACAGATCTGATTAAGGGTTGACATCCATAATATATAAAGAGCTTACACACCTCAACAAATGAAAAGCAAGTAATCCAATTAAAAAATGGGCAAAGGGGCTGAATAGACAGTTCTTAAAGAAGAAATCCAGATGGCCAAAAGACACATGAAAAGATTCTCCACATTGCTTGTCATCAGAGAAATGCAAATTAATACCACAATGAGATGTAACCTCACAGCAGTAAGGATCGCCATCATTGAAAAGACAAAGAACAACAGATGTTGGCGAGGTTGTGGAGAAAGGGGAACCCTCCTACACTGCTGGTGGGAATGTAAATTAGTTCACCCATTATGGAAAGCAGTATGGAGGTTCCTCAAAATGCTCAAAATAGAAATATCATTGACCCAGGAATTCCACTTCTAGGAATTTACCCTAAGAATGCAGCACTACAGTTTGAAAAAGACAGATGCACCCCTATGTTTATCGCAGCACTATTTACAATAGCCAAAATATGGAAGCAACCTAAATGTCCATCAGTAGATGAATGGATAAAGAAGATGTGGTACATATACACAATGGAATAGTATTTAGCCATAAGAAGAAAACAAATCCTACCATTTGCAACAACATGGATGGGACTAGAGGGTATTATGCTCAGTGAAGAAAGCCAGGCAGAGAAAGACAAGTACCAAATGATTTCACTCATATGTGGATAATAAGAACAAAGGAAAACTGAAGGAACAAAACAGCAGCAGAATCATAGAACCCAAGAATGGACTAACAGTTACCAAAGGGAAAGGAACTGGGGAGGATGGGTGGAAAGGGAGGGACAGGTGTGGGGTAAAAGAAAGGGGGCATTATGATTAGCATGTATAGTGTGTGGGGGGCACGGGGAAGGCTGTTCAACACAGACAATATAATTAGTGATTTTACAGCATCTTACTATGCTGATGGACAGTGACTGTGAAGGGGTATGTAGGGAGGTGGACTTGGTGAAGGGGGTAGCCTAGTAAACATAATGTTCTTTGTGTAATTGTAGATTAATGATACCAAAAAGAAATTGCCAGCAAAATATATCTAAACAGAAGTTCCAGCTGACAGAGGCTGAAAGAGAAATGAAGAAAAAGGCCAGCCTCCTGGCAGCTGCCCTTAAAGAAAGAGAGATGACCAAAAGGCATAGAAAAGCTGACTGCCAATAGGGGGGTGGCCTAGGACACTCCCCCACCAGCCAGGGACCAGTGTACTTAGGGTAAAGAGAAGGGCACTGGAAGAATGAATGCCCCAAATGAGGCAAAGCCCTGAAGCCCAGTTGCTACCAGGAGGAGCCCCATGGGGAAAGGCTCACTGGCCTGGCAGGAACAGACTCAGACTGACAAGGACTGGGGTCTCTTGCACTCAGCCCCCATAAGCCCATGGTCAAAATGAAAGTGGGGGACCAAAACATAACTTTTGTGATTGACACAGGGGCAGAACACTCTGTAGTCCCCTTCCCTGTAGCCCCCTTCAGTAAAAAGACTGCAACTATTCTTGGAGCCACAAAGACAGTGGCAATACCCCCTCTCACAAGAGGTGACAGCAGGCATCCAGGAACACGTGATTAGACTGCGAGAGGCAGGCATTCTAATCGAGTGGCAGTCACCCTGGAACATCCCACTTCTACCATTCAAAAAGCCAGGAGGGGGTACTGGCCTGTTTGAGACCTGCGAGCCATTAATAGAGTGACTATTTCTTTACACCTGGTGGTCCCAAACCCGTACACCCTCCTCAGCCAGATCTCAGAGTCTGCCAAATGGTTCACTTTGCCTAGACTGTTTCTTTACACCTGGTGGTCCCAAACCCGTACACCCTCCTCAGCCAGATCTCAGAGTCTGCCAAATGGTTCACTTTGCCTAGATTTAAAGATGTCTTTTTCTGCCTCCAGCTGACCCCCCAAAGCCATGTCTTGTTTGCCTTTGAATGGACTGAACTGAATATGGGGTGGCAGATGCAGTTAACATGGATGCGGCTTCCACAAGGGTTCAATAACTCACCCACTCTCTTGGGAGAGGCACTGGCTGTAGACCTTGCCAGTTTTCCAAGGAATGCCACATGCTGCCTCTCCTGCAGTATATATATGAACTCCTCTTTCCCCCCAAATGAAGAAAGGCATATGACAATTCCTGGGGGCCACCAGGTTCTGCAGAATCTGGATTCCCAGATTCTCGGCAATGTCAAGACCCCTTTACAGTGTCCTGAGGGGGCCAAACTGAAAGCCCCCCTTTCTAGACAAAAGAGGCAATAGCCACCTTCCTGGAAATAAATGCTGCTTCAGAACAGGCACCAGCCCTAGGCCTGTCATATCTAAAAAGCCCTTCAATGTCTTCGTACATAAAAAAGTAGCAATTCTGTATTGCAAAGAACATCAAAAGGAAAACAATCCTATAACACAGAGGAACCAGCTAGCAGATAAAGCAGCTAAAACAGTGGCCCACAAAATACAGATAAAGCTCCCTCCCTCACTTTGGCCTTAACACGCCCACTGGAGGCCCTTCCATCCAACCACACTAGAAAAGAAAAGGACTGAGCCATAGCTGAAGGAGCCACCCTAAGAAAAAAAAAAAAAGATAAATGCTGCCTGGCAAACGCATCTTTGTCCGAACTGCAACTGGAAGGCATCTAGTCAGCAAATACCATCAGCTCACCCACCTAGGAAAAACTTCACAAGAAGCCCTCCTCAAAAAAAAAGCAATACTACATCAGCCAGTTGCTAGCATTATGCCAAGCAGTAAGTGAGCAGTGCATGACTTGTGCCAGAAATAATGCTGTATCTGCACCACGACCCCCACCCAGGGTCCAAAGAGCAGGAATTACCCCCTTTGAAGACCTTGAGATAGACTTCACAGATATACACCCAAGCAGAGGGCTCAGATACCTCCTAGTAATACTGTGTGCATAGTCTGGGTGGGTCAAAGCCTTTCCAACCAGGACAGAATGAAGCCAGGAGGCAGCCAAAGTCCTCCTGAGAAAAAATGTGCCCCAGTTTAGCTTATCATCTACAATTCACAGTGACAGTAGACCTGCCTTTGTAGCAGATGCAGTAAATTTTTCAACATTACCTGATAACTCCATACTGCATACAGACCACAAGATATAATCATCCAAGAAATCATGAGCAAGCCACTGAAAAAAGGGAAAAATAAAACCCTGAAATATTATTACTCTAACTTTTTAACTATCTGAAGATACTCAAGTACTTATTAACAAATATGTTCTAAAAAAGGAAGTTGTATTTTTTCTAAAAAAACAACACCTGTATTCCCTTAGGAAAGGTAGCACTGAACATCATGGTGTGGCGAATACCCTTCCGTGGCATACTGCCTTGTTCAACTATACGACGTATCTGAGGTTCAAATCCCATATCCAGCATCCTATCAGCTTCATCCAACACTAAGTATCTGTTACAAAAAAACACCCCATTTAGGATCTGATGAGAAACTTAGTTGAATATAGTTGTGTCTTTAATTAAGCTTGATACATTTATCCAACATTCTTACTACACAAAGTAACACATGAAACACACTTAGGTCACACAAGCCAAGGAGACAATTACTTGACTGTGTACAAATACAGGCTAACTGATATTTTTCAAAGACTATGTATAAAGTTGAAATAATTCATGTTTTAATCTCAATACTAATAAATCACTACAAAATGACCACTAATATTAAAAAAGCTTCATCTCGGAGGAGGGGCCAAGATGGTGGCGAGAGAAGGGCAGCGGAAATCTCCTCCCAAAACCATATATATTTTTGAAAATACAACAAATACAACTATTCCTAAAAGAGAGGCCAGAAGATAACAGTACAACAAACAGTAAGGCTACATCGACAGCTGCGAGAACTGATCACCTCACGAAGGAGGTAAGATACAAGCCAAGGCCTGGCAGGAGCTGAGCACTCTACCAAACCCAGCCCACCAGTGGGAGGAGAGGAGTTGGAGTGGGGAGGGAGAGGGAGCCCAGGTCTGCTAAATACCAAGCCCTAGTCATCCGCACCAGGATCACAGACACACAGTGCATGGTGTGCTGGATATAAGGGAAATGCAACAGTAAAACATGTGAGCAGGTCGCAACAGCTAGTGCCTTAGGGACAGAAGAAAAGCGAGTGCTTTTTGAAAGACTTAAAGAGACAGGGGCCTCACAGCAGCCAGGCACACTCAGCCCAGCAGCTGGGAATCCTGGGGAACTTCAGGCACCGTAACACTAACACCCTGAGCGGCAGTGCATTCCTGAAACCCCTCATGGTGATTAAACAGCCTCCTGTCAATTACCCTTCCTGAGTGGTCCCGCTGCAGCAGGAGAGCAGCCTGAGAGTAGCTGCGCCCACAGCAGCTGCCCAGGGCCTCCTTCACAGTCACCTGCACCAGACTCAGAGGCTCCATGGCAAACAGCAGCCCAGCACTGACAGAGGAAGCCAGGACAGGGTGCTTAGGGTAGCCGTTATTGCAGAAGAGCACACCCAGGGTGCCTACCTCTCCCGGCAGGGCCCGGGGATGCCCCGATGGCTGCACTGCCTGTGGCAGCTCAGGAAATAAAACCAGAAGCTTCTCCTGGTGTGTGGGTGACCAGCACAGGCAGCGGAGAAGGGCAAGGTGACCAACAAGCAGGAAAGTACTTGGTGACACAAGCGCTACCTGCCTACAGCTACCTCTACCAATGTGAAAAGGCGGAGGAATTTGGTGCAGTCCAGAATTACCCAGACCACCCCAACAGAGGGCCTGGGGAGAGAGATTTAACCAAACTCCCTGAAAAACAATTCAATATTAACGTCATAACCATGCTGATGGACCTGCAGAGAAATATGCAAGAGCTAAAGGATCGAGTTAGGAGGGAGAGTACAGAAATAAAACAATCTCTGGAAGGACTTGAGAGCAGACTGGCTGAGGTGCCAGAGGCTGTTAATGGAACAGAGAGCAGACAACAGAAACACAGAGATTCTGAGGCAGATACAAGGATCTCCAGGAATGAAAAACCATTCAGAGAACTGTGTGACCAAGCCAGATGGGACAATATCCACATTAAAGGGGTAGCAAAAGAAGAAGAAGAGAGAAAAAGGGACAGAGGGTGTCTTTGAAGAAATAATTGCTGAAGGTATCTCAAAACTGGGGGACGAAATAGTCTCTCAGAACATAGACGACCACAAGGGACCCAGGGAGGACGACACCAAGACACAAGATTAATACGGCACTGACCAAGGACAAGGCCAGAGTTTTAAAGGCAGCCAGAGAGAAAAGTTCACCTACAAAGGAAAACCATCAGGCTATCGTCAGACTTCTCAACAGGAAACTTACAGGCCAGAAGACAATAACATGATATATTTAATGCAATCAAACAGAAGAGCCTAGAACAATGAATACTGTGTCAAGCACAATTATCATTCAAATATGAAGGATGCATTAAACAATTCCCAGAAAAGCAAAAGTTGAGGGAATTTGCCTCCCACAAACCACCTCTACACGGTATTTTAGAGGGACTGCTCTACATGGGAGCACTCCTAAGGCTAAATAGATGTCACTAGAGAAAATAAAATCACAGCAAAGAAAGCAGACCAACCAAACACTAACTAAACGCAAAAAATAAAATCAACTACGCACAAAAGCAGTTAAAGGAAACCCAAGGAGTACAGAATAAAACACCTAACATATAAAGCATGGAGGAGGAGGAATAAGAAGGGAGAGAAATCATGATCAGACTGTGAATATAACAGCTTAATAAGGCAGTTTGTTAGACAGGTAGTAAAGACGCTACCCTTGAACATTTGGTAAACACAAATCTAAAGTCTGCAATGGCAATAAATACGTATCTTTCAATATTCACCCTAAATGTAAATGGATGGAATAAACCAATCAAAGGACACACAGTAACAGAATGGATAAGAAAGCAAGACCCATCTATATTCTGCTTAACACACACCTCAAACCCAAAGACATACACAGACTAAAATTCAAAAGATGGAAAAAGACATTTCATGCAAACAACTGGGAGAAAAAAGCAGGTGTTGCAGTACTAGTATCAGACAAAATAGACTTCAAAACAAAGAAAGTAACAAGCAATAAAGAAGGACATTATGTAATGATAAAGGGGTCAGTCCAGCAAGAAGATATAACCATTATAAATATACATGCACCCAACACAGGTGCACCAGCATATGGGAAACAAATACTAACAGAACTAAAGGAGGAAAGAGAATGCAATGCATTCATTTTAGGAGACTTCAACAGACCACTTACTCCAAAGGACAGATCACCACCAGACAGAAACTAAGGACACAGAGGCACTAAACAACACACTAGAACAGGTGGACCTAACAGACCTCTACAGAACTCTACACCCATACACATTCTTCTCAAGCGCATATGGAACATTTTCCAGGGCAGACCACGTATGAGGCCACAAAAAGAGCCTCAGTAAATTCAAAAAGATAGAGATTTTACCAGCCACCTTCTCAGACCGCAAAGGTGTAAAACTAGAAATAAATTGTACAAAGAAAGCAAAAAGGCTCACAAACACATGGAGGCTTAACAACGTGCTCCTAAATAATCAATGGATAATGACCAAATTAAAAGAGATCAGGCAATATTTGGAGACAAATGACAACACCACCACAAAGCCCCAACTTTTGTGGGACACAGTGAAGGCAGTTCTAAGAGGAAAGTGTATAGCAATAAAGGCCTATTTAAAGTCGGAAGAAAAATCCCAAATGAATAGTCTAAAGTCACTATTATTGAAACTGGAAGAAGAACAAATGAGTCCAAAGTCAGAGAATGAAGGACATAATAAAAATCAGAGTAGAAATAAATAAAATTGAGAAGAATAAAACAATAGAAAAAAAACAATGAAATGAAGAGGTGGATCTTTCAGAAAGTAAACAAAATAAGCCCCTAGGCAGACTTAGTAAGAGAAAGAGAAGAATCTACACACATCATCAGAATTAGAAGTAGGAAAGGAAAAATCACGATGGACCCCACCAAAATACAAAGAATTATTAGAGAATACTATGAGAATCTATATGCTAACAAGCTGGAAAACCTCAAAGAAATGGACAACATCCTAGAAAAGTACAACCTTCCAAGACTGAACAAGAAAGAAAGAGAAAATCCAAAGACACCAATTACTAGCAACGAAGTTGAATCAGTAATCAAAAAACTACTCAAGAGCAAAACCCCCGGGCCAGGTGGATTTACCACAGAATTTTATCAGACATACAGAAAAGACAGAATATCAATTTTCCTTAAAGTTTTCCAAAAAATACAAGAGGTGGGCAAACTTACAAACTCATTCTACGAAGCCAGCTTCACTCTAATACCAAAACCAGGCAAAGACCACACAGAAAAAGAAAACTACAGACCAATATCCCTGATGAACACAGATGCAGAAATACTCAACAGAATATTAGCAAACGGAATTCAAAAATACATCAAGAGGATCATAAACCATGACCAAGTGGGATTCATCCTAGGGACAGAAGGATGGTACAACATTCGAAAATCCATCAACATCATCTACCACATCAACAAACAGAAAGACAAAAGCCAGATAAGCATCTCCACAGACACTGAGAAAGTGTTCGACAAAATCCAACATCCATTCTCGATAAAAACTCTCAACAATATGGATAGAGAGGGCAAGTTCCTCAACATAATTAAAGGCCATATATGACAAACCCACAGCCAACATCATACTTAACAGTGAGAAGCTGAAAGCTTTTCTACTAGGAAGGGGAATAAGACAGGGATGCCCACTCTCCCCATTGTTTTTCGACAATGTACTGGAGGACCTACCCACAGCAATCAGACAAAACAAAGAAATAAAAGTAATCTAGATTGGGAAAGAAGAGGTCAGATCAAATTGTCCTGTTTGCAGATGACATGATATTGTACATAAAAAACTTAAACATTCCACCCCAAAACTACTAGAATCAATATCTGAATTCAGAAAAGTTGCAGGATACAAAATTAATACACAGAAAATCTGCTGCTTTCCTATACACTTACAATGAACTAGGAGACAGAGAAATTGGAAAAAAAATGCCATTCACAATTGCATCAAAAAGATTAAAATACCTAGGAATAAAACCTAACCAAGGAAGTGAAAGACCTATATCCTGAAAACTACAAGACACTCAAGAGAAACTGAGGTCACTAACAAATGGAAACTCATCCCATGCTCTTGCCTAGGAAGAATGAATATTGTCAAAATGGCCGACCTCAGTAAAACAATCTACAAATTTAATGCACTCCATATCAAAATACTACAGCATTCTTCAACGAACTGGAACAACTCTAAAATTCACATGGAACTGCCAAAGACCCCAAACAGCCAAAGCAGTCCTGAAAAGGAAGAATAAAGAGGGGGCATTTTGCTTCCCAACTTCAAGCTCTACTTCAAAGCCACAGTAATCAATAAAATTTGATACTGTCACCACAACAGACCCACAGACCAGTGGAACAGGATACAGAGTCCAGATATTAACACAAACATACATGGTCAACTAGTATACGATAAAGGAGCCATGGCCATACAATGTGGAAATGACAGCCTCTTCAAGAGCTGTTATTTGCAAAACTGGACAGATACATAAAAGAGAATGAAACTGCATCATCATCTAACACCATTTACAAAAGTAAATTTGAAATTGATCAAAGACCAGAATATGTCATGATACCATAAAACTCTTAGAAAACAACATATGCAAAAATCTCCTAGACATAAACATGAGCGACCTCTTCATGCACGTATCTCCCCAGGCAAGGGAAACAAAAACAATGATGAACAAGTTGGACTATACCACGCTGAAAACTTCTGTACAGCAAAGGACACCACCAATAGAACAAAAAGGCATCCTATAGTATGCGAGAATATATTCATAAATGACAGATCCAATTAAAGGGTTGACATCCAAAATATATAAGGAGCTCATGCACCTCAACAAACAAAAAGCAAATAATCTAATCCAAAAATGGTCAGAGGAGCTGAACTAGAGAGTTCTCCAAAGAAACTCAGATGGACAACAGAAATATGAAAAGATGCTACACATCACTAGTCATGAGAGAAATGCAAATGAAAACCACAATGAGATATCATAACATGGCGGTATGGATCACCAGCATCAAAAAAGCAAATGACAAATGTTGGCGAGGTTGTGGAGAAAGGGGAACCCTCCTACACTGCTGGTGGGCATGTAAATTAGGTTCAACCATGTGGAAAGCAGTATGGAGGTTCCTCAAGAAACTCAAAATAGAAATACTGTTTGACCCAGGAATTCCACTCCGAGGAATTTACCCTAAGAATGCAGCAGCCCAGTTTGAAAAAGACATATGCACCCCTATGTTTATCGCAGCACTATTCACAATAGCCAAGAAATGGAAGCAACCTAAGTGTCCATCACGAGATGAATGGATAAAGAAGACAGTGCTACCTATACACAATGGAGTATTATCCAGCTTCAAAAAGAAAAAAATCCTGCCATTTTCAACAACATGGATGGAGCTAGAGTTTATTATGCTCAGAGAAATAAGCCAGGAGGAGAAAGACTAGTACCAAATCATCTCACAAGTATGTGGAGTAGAAGAGCTAAGAAGAAACTGAAGTAACAAAACAGCAGCAGACCCAAAGAACCCAAGAATGGACTAACAGTTACTAAAAGGAAAGGGACTGGGGAGGATGGGTGGGAAGGGAGGGATAAGGGGGTTAAAAAAGAAAGGGGCATTATGATTTGCATGTATAATATGCGGGGTGGTGACACGAGGAGAGCTTTGCAACAGAGAGAGAAGTAGTGATTCTACAGCATCTTCCTACGCTGATGGACACTGACTGTAATGAGGTTTGCAGGGGAGGCTTGGTGATGGGGGGAGTATAGTCAATATAATATTCCTCATGTAACTGTAGATTAATGATACCAAAAAAAGCTACATCTCAGATACAGAAATTAACTTACTTGCAGAAGTCTAATCCAATTTTTCCTCTTTCCATCATATCCAGTAGACGCCCTGGAGTGGCAACTAACAAGTGACACCCACGTTCTAAATCTCGAATCTGCTGACCAATATCAGCACCACCATAAACCACACAAGGGTGAACTCTAGACCGGTATGAAAACTGTAAGCAAAGGATTCATTGGGTAGTCAGAAATGTATCACTAATTAAAAACAGCAACAATAAGTAAAATGCATATTTACTTTTCTGGCTTCCTCATAGATCTGTACAGCCAGTTCTCTTGTAGGAGCTAAAACTAAGGAAACTGGGTATTGTTTACGGCGTCCATACCTTCCAATTTCCTAAAAAGGAAATTTTATGAATTAAACTTAAAGACCCAAAATTTGTTTATTCTTTAAAAAATTCTTGACATCAAAATTCCCTCTGTAACGTAAAAATTACATGCAAAACTGGCTTTCTGTTGGATAATCAGACTGAAAACAAAATTTAAAAAATGAAAATAAAGTACACTTGGCATCACTTAGAAAGAAGGGTCCCAACAAATATTTTGGTAAGTCTTCCAATGAAAAAACTTCTTACAATGATTTCTTTACCTTCACAGCCCTCAAAGCCTCGCCTGGACCATCTCCATAAATCTGACTTAAGATGGGTAAGAGAAATGCTGCTGTTTTTCCAGAGCCTGGAAGAAAATAATTTTATGAAGTATTCCAAACACCCTCTTGGGTAAGAAAATTTTACTCTATGCCTGATTTTCTGGAAAACATGGTATATTTACACAGCAAAGCAAAAAGTGCCAGCTGAGGAACTTCTGTGAACATTTTACACAATGCACTATTCAAGTCTCTGCATTTTAATTTACACAGAAACAACCATTTTGCTTTCTCCTGCATCCACTTCCACTTCCATACTGTTTTGGTATATACACTGTTGGAATGTGAAGCAGGAGTCAGCCATTCCAAAGAGTCCAAAAGAGGGTTCTCGGGGCCAGCATGTCTCTGCCGTTGGAAAACTGCAGTTGTTTCAGGAAGACTCATTGAGAAAGCAGGCAGTGGCGTTAACCTAAAGGCCACAATTAGGTACAAAAGATGGGCAAGCATGGTGATATGGTTGGGTTAGCCAAATCTGAACACAGTGGACACAATCAGTGTGACAAATCAGATGAAGGTGGTTGGCTAAAACCTCTCCACCAAGTGGACGCCTGAAGCAGTTAGTTTGTGACATGTGCATTAACTGTTGTAAAACTTACTATACACCTAGTGTAATACATATATAACAGTGATTGAGAGAAGTTATATCAACTTTAAATTCAAATGACTCAAAATTTGTAATACATCCAAGCAGAAGTTTTAATACTGTTCTGCCATCTATAACCCATCCTAAATTAAGAATAAATTACTATTCCCGCCCTCCTCCATTCCCCAATTCCCAAAATACTCTCTTCCTCTCCCCAACCTAATTGTTATGGATCACAGGATCTTCCCTTGTTCTGTTGCAGCAGTATCAAACTGACAATTTGTTACAGACCTCCCCAAGATACCCTGAGGAGACACACTGATTCCATCCAACGGATCCAAAGACACAGGTAAAAAGACACGTCACCAACTAACCTTTACCTAGCTCAAAACCAAGCTAATAAACACAGTACTCAGGTGTCCCTACACAATGTGCTACTTTTAGCGCTAGTCTAGGTAAGATACTGACTTCTAAACTGCATCAAGTGGGCTTACCTGTTTGGGCACAAGCCATCAAGTCTCTCTTTTCTTTAATAATGGGAATGGCATGCTTTTGCACTGGAGTTGGACGAGTGTAACAAGTAAGCTCAATGTTCCCCATGATAATTTCTCCCAACTCAACATCACTGAACTGTAAAGAAATTTAACCAGATCAAATATACACAAAATGAGAAATACACTATCCATTGTAATTTGATTTATAATACAAGAATGGAAGAAGCCAACTAAATGCCTACCTATTCATGACAAGGTTACATTGTATCTGCTTTCATTTCAGGTAAAATCATCATGGTATTTTTTAAGAAAGTGGACTAATGTACAAATAGTGTTGGTTCTTCCTTAGACACATTTTTCTTTCAGGATTACTGATAATGGTAACATTAAAAAATATCAGTTTCTCCTTTTTCATAATCCAATGAAGTTTTCAGTAGTAACTTTAATAAAGAATTGTTAAAAAAGTAAAACAAAGCCACTTACGCTTTCAATATGTGGAGGACAGTTATTTCCAGTTGCCTCTACTGGTATATCATCATACTTCTCAAAGTTAATCCCAGTGTTTCTTCCAGAAAACAGTTCCCTGAAACCAAATTATTATAATGCAGAATTATACTAGCTAGTAAGTTGTCATAACAATCAACACCTTTCATAAACTTACTGCTCCAAGCGTTCACTTGGTGGAAGTGGTTTTGACCAATCATCTTCATCTGATCTGTCACCCCAACGACTTTGTCCACTGCATTCAAATTTGCTAAAGCCAGTGCTGACACGACTGCCAACACCATCATAGCCACTTTGTCCACGATCATCAAACCTAACCAGAACAATTTGCCAAAATATGTCATTTAGCCAAAACCATGTTATCATCTTTCTAGAAATATATATTAGTTAAACATTTTTGTCACAAGGACATTTCAGATGCCAAAACTCAATATTAACATCTCAATTTGTGAAATAAGGTCCTCTACTTAACCAATGGTTATACATAGTGGATACATTTCCAATTTTAGAAAACCAGCATTGTTCTTTCCTTTTTTTACAATTGTGCAGCTTAGAACAAGTCTCACATGCTAAGAATTAAGTTCTACAATACATTTAACTAGTATAAACTTTACATCTGAATTTTGAAACAGATTAACCCAAAAATGTAAGAGAAGAAAGAAAAGAAGGAATCTTAGTCTTGTTTGTAAAAAATAATACAGGAGCAAGCAGATACTAAATTCGTGAGATCAGTTTATCAAAATTGTGCAATCATAAAAAAATGTTTAAACCAACACAAAAAAACCATACGATTAAATAAATACAAATAACACTATCAAATCGCATATTTCTACTGCATGTAAATTAACATATTAAATCAATAAAGATCTTTGAGCTAACAATACTACACCAACATTTGCTTAAAATTTGCAATAGAACAATGGTCCATTAATGATGACGAAAGATCAACAAAATAACACAGTAATTTACCTTCCCCTTGATCTACTTCCATGATCACTGAAGTAACTGGGCTTTTCTCTTGTATCTCGAGACCCAAAACTGCAGTAGGCATCCTTATCTTTACAACTCCACCCTGATCGGTCTTTATCATCTAATCCTCCCAAACAAACAAACAAACACAAAAAGAAAAAAAAATATGACATAATTCTGATCTTTCCAAATAAGGAGGTTTTTCAGTCTTCTTTTAAACTTTCAAGCTTGTAGGACACCAAGGGTCAATGGATTTACTTATGTAAAACACGGGAAAAGAGAACTGAAAGATTTAGGTAGTAGGTTTACACCAGCAAATAGTCATTTCACTGCCTTAAATTCTCTTTTCTGCTAGAAATTACTGCAGTAAACAAAGTAACCTCATGGTCTTAACAACAATGCACTAAATGAACACACCCTTAAAAATTAGGTTTACATGTAACTAAAGTACATTACTTTTACATTGACCATAAAACACACAATTTATATTCCATTCAAGTATCATGGTTTGCTATACTCCAAAAACCTAGGCTTATTCCAATAAGATTATTTTGAAAAGACCATAGTTAATACTACTTAAAAGCTGGGCCTGCTCTCTCAGAGAAATTTCAAGTGCCTCTCCCAAATCTTTACCTTCAGAAATAAGTAAGTAGCTAGGGCAACTCTACCGAAGCATTTTAGTTATGCCCACCCCTAAATATCTCACAAAGCATTATACAAAACGTGGTAAGTTAAAAATATGTATTATTGCCAGACAATACACCTTCTGGAATTCCCAATTTAACTAAAGGTTAATTAACCTCAGGTACTGTTAGTAGCCTAGGGAAAACAAAATGAATAGATACACTACATGATTACTGAGAAACATGTCAGATATACTAGGACAAAAAGTTTCAAATTTTATAATGGCTGAAGCACTAAATTCTAGGAACTGAATTATGCTTTATCTACTTCTTATGGGATCTATATAGTAAATAAGTGGCATTGTGAAAACAGAACTTAGTCAATTAGAAGACTTGGAGAAGGCAACTTGGTAGGAACTTTATCAGCAGTGATATAAATATGAGAAGTCAGTTGAACATCTTCAATACATAAGCAATGTTCTAGCTTACTCTTACAAGAAATAAATTAAGAGAATGGAAATAGCGTGAAAGGAGTTTTAATATTTCTATTTGACTTCAGTGCACTTTTCAAATGTCTTCAAAGGTTCCCACATATAAAATAAAGCTACCTGTATTCAAAAACTACCACTGGATTTTTTGAAATGATCCTCAACTTAAGGAATAAACCACAAAACATTTACAGCAGGTAGATTTTTCAGGAAGAACTCTAAATTATGAAACATGTACCACATTTGTCAAAACTTTTAACAGCCTCTGAACTTCCAAAAAGGTTCCTCAATCCGTTCTCATGAAAATCTCCCTGTTTTTGAATTTACCTTACATGAGGTATTGGTAAGCACCTCCCCATTTCAGTATTAAAAAACCAAACAAACAATTGGTGTAAACGTTATTTGCATAGGTACACTTACATAAACTATTGTCAAATAGTAGAGTACAACAATGTTGGATCAAGCTTGGTGACAACACAGGTATATCAAGGAAAAAAGAAAACTCCACTATCTCCCTTGCCTAATTTCCTAATTGGACAAGTCTCTAAGGCACATCTACAGACATTGAAAAGTTCAGAGTAAACTCACTCCACAAGCTGATAAAAACCAGAATCAGACACTTTATTAAATTTATAGCTCCACCATTTGCCAGATGGATGAGCCACGGCCGTTAGCAGGATGATTGTCGAATTTTTAAGATCTGATCCACGAACTCCTGAAGGTACTGACAACTCCCTTTAAAAACACTTAATATGCTCTGGATGCTATGCCAGCAAGATACACTGAGGAGAACTCATTAACACATTTCATAACTCTGCAGTTACTTTGAAAAAAACCCCTAACATTAGCTAAATTACCTTCTGGTAGACCTACACACACTTAAAAGTTTAATTCAGGAAAACTACAGACCTCAAGCTATAGGTTATCGTCTCCCTTACTGAAATACCCTCCAACCCTTACTTATTTACCAGTCTTTATTCTTTCCTTTCAGCTTTAAGTATTTTTCCTGACCTTTCCCTTCTTTCTAAAATTTCAGTCACCCAAGTGGTTCTAACAATATATTTAATAAGCTATCGCCACTCTACATTAAGAAATCAACAGTAAAATATATTCAGGATTTCCATAACATTTTAGGCAAAACCTTTCAAATGAAGCAGTTCAGGCAAAAAGCTAAGATCAGACAATCTATCCAACTTACTAAAGTGCACAAGCTTGTACTCCTGCAATTAACTATTCTACAATAAACCTGCTATCAGGTGGCTTAATACATGTGCAGTTTTAATCTACATATTTAATACAGACACACACATTTTCAAAGTGAAATCAATCATGTTGTCAATGTTTATAGATACAGCCCCAGACTAGTGGGAACTGTTAACAGTAAAATTATACTAGTGAAAGTGGGTCAAAAGAAGTAACTCTGAATTACTTAAAATTAGATGAACCTTTTCAAAGTTAGGAAATGCTTGTTCTTGAACAAGAGAAAATGTGTACAGACTTCCCAGTTACCTCATTTTCCCTAGGCTAACTCATCTCTAAGCATACAAAATGTTGGATACAAAGTTGCTGTTAATCACCTACCTTTAGATGCTTCTCTGTTCCTTAAGTGAGGAGGTATATAACGCCCTTCTAAGAGAAAAACAAAAATTAAAAGCCCATTATAGCATCCAACACACAGCTTTTTACAAAAGCAAGCTTTAAAGCCTCCTTTAAAAGTTGTTTCGCAGTAGGGAATAAATACCAAAAAATAAATTATTGCTTAATTAATATAATTTTTACCCTAAAATTGAAGGGTGGGAGACAAGTCTGGCAAAATTGGGAACATAGATTAAGAAATATTACTCATATCAAATTCAGTTCAGTTACTAATAGTTACTTAACAAACATTATAAAGGGCCATCTCTTACTTAACTTGCATGAATTCTAACATATAGCAAGTATGACCATCACTGTAAAAGCCTAAGAGTATATCCTCAAAAAACATATCATCTGAAAAAGATATTTCATGCAAACCATAGGGAGAAAAAAGCAGGTGTTGCAGTAATAGTATCAGACAGAAAAAATTTCAAACCAAAGAAAGTAACAAGGGATCAAGAAGGACATTACATAATGATAAAGGGCTCAGTCAAACAAGAGGATATGAACTTTATAAATATATATGCACCCAACACAGGAGCACCATGATATGTGAAACAAATACTAACAGAACTAAAGGAGGAAACAGAATGCAATGTATTCATTTTAGGAGACTTCAACACACCATTCACTCCAAAGGACAGATCCACCACACAGAAAATAAGGACACAGAGGCACTGAACAACACAATAGAACAGATGTACCTAATAGACATCTATAGATCTCTACACCCAAAAGCAACAGGATACACATTCTTCTCAAGTGCACATGGCACATTCTCAAGAATAGACCACATACTAGGACACAAAAACAGCCTCAGTAAACTCCAAAAGATCGAGAATCTGCAACCAAATTTTCAGACCACAAAGGTATAAAACTAGAAATCGTACAAAGTAGGCAAAAAGGCTCACAAACACATGGAGGCTTAACAACACACTTCTAAATAGTCAAGGGATCAACGACCAGATTAAAATGGAGATCCAGAAATATATGTAAATAAATGACAACAACAACACGAAGCCCCTACTTCTGTGGGACACAGCTAAAGCAGTCTTAAAAGGAAAGTACATAGCAATCCAAGCATAGTTAAAGAATGAAGAACAATCCCAAATGAATAGTCTAACATCAAAATTAATAAAATTGGAAAAACAAGAACAAATGAGACCTAGAGTAAGCAGAAGGAGTCACATAATAAAAATCAGAGAAGAAATAAACAAAATTCAGGAGAATAAAACAATAGAAAAAAAATCAATGAAACCAAGAGGTTATGATGAAAATGAACAAAATAGATAAGCCTCTGGCCAGACTTAAGAGAAAAGGAGAAACAACACACATCAACAGAATCAGAAACAACAAAGGAAACATCATGACGGACCCAACAGAAATACAAAGAATTATTAGAGACTACTATGAAAACCTATATACTAACAAAGTGAAAAACCTAGAAGAAATGGCCAACTTCCTAGAAAAATACAACCTTCCAAGACTGACCAAGGAAGAAACACAAAATATAAACAAATCAATTAACAGCAAAGAAATTGAGTCTGTAATAAAAAACTACCCAAGAAAAAAAAACCCGGGCCAGGTGAATTTACCTCAGAATATTATCAGACATACAGAGAAGATATAATAACCATTCCTCTTAAAGTTTTCCAAAAAAGGAGGAGGGAATACTCCCAAACTCATTCTATGAAGCCAACATCACCCTGTTACCAAAACCAGGCAAAGACCCTCCAAAAAAGAAAATTACAGACCAATATCCCTGATGAACATCAATGCAAAAATACTCAATAAAATATTAGCAAACCGAATTCAAAAATATATCAAGAGGATCATACACCACGACCAAGTGGGAATCATCCCGGAGATGCAAGGCTCATACAACTTTTGAAAATCCAGCAACATCATCCTCCACATCAACAAAAAGAAAGACAAAAACCACATGATCATCTCCATAGATGCTGAAAAAGCATTCAATTAAATTCAACATCCATTCATAATAAAAACTCTCAGCAAAATGGGTATAGAGGGAAAGTACATCAACACAATAAAGGCCATATATCATAAACCCACAGCCATCATCATACTAAACAGTGAGAAGCTTAAACTTTTCCAGTGAGATCAGAAAAAAGACAGGGATGCCCACTCTCCCCACTGTTTTTCAACATAGTACTGGAGATCCTAGCCATGGCAATTAGACAAAAAAAAGAAATACAAGGCATCTAAATTGGTAAAGAAGACATCAAACTGACATTATTTGCAGAAGACATGATATTGTACATAAAAAACTATAAAGACTCCACTCCAAAACTACTAGAACTGATATCAGAATACAGCAAAGTTGCAGGATAAAAAATTAATACACAGAAATATGTGGCTTTCCTATACACTAACAATGAACCAATACAAAGAGAAATCAGGAAAACAATTCCATTCACAATTGCATCAAAAAGAATAAAATACTAAGAAATAAAGCTAACCAAAGAAGTGAAAGACTTATACCTTAGAAACTATAAGACACTCTTAAGAGAAATTAAAGAGGACACTAACAAACTCATCACATGCTCCTGGCTAGGAAGAATTAATATTGTCAAAATGGCCATCCTGCCCAAAGCAATATACAGATTCGATGCAATCCCCATCAAATTACCAACAGCATTTTTCAATGAACCAATTAAATTGGTTCAAAAATTCATATGGAAACACCAAAGACCCCAACTAACCAATGCAATCCTGAGAAAGAACTACAAAGTAGGGGGAATCCCACTCCCCAATATCAAGCTCTACTACAAAGCCATAGTAATAAAGACAATCTGGTACTGGCACAAGAACAGAGCCACAGACCAATGAAACAGACTAGAAATCCAGACATTAACCCAGACATATATGGTCAATTAACATTCGATAAAGGAGCCATGGGCATACAATGGGGAAATGACAGCCTCTTCAACAGATGGTACTGGAAAAACTGGACAGCTACATGGAAGAGAATGAAAGTGGGTCACTATCTACCCCATGCACAAAAGTAAATTCAAAATGGATCAAAGACCTTAATGTAAGTCATGAAAACATAAAACTGCTAGAAGAAACCACAGGCAAAAGTCTTTTAGACATAAACATGACTGACCTCTTCTTGAACATATCTCCCTGGGCAAAGAAAACAAAAGCAAAAATTAACAAGTGGTAATATATTAAGCTGAAAAGCTTCTGTATAGCAAAAGACACCATGAATAGAACAAAAAGGTACCCTATAGTATGGGAGAATATATTTGTAAATGACAGATCCAATAAAGGCTTGACATCCAAATTATGTGATGGGCTCACCCAACTAAACAAATAAAAAATAAATAATCCAATTAAAAAAAGGGCAGAGGAACTGACCAGACACTTCTCCAAAAAAGAAATATAGATAGCCAACAGACACACGAAAAGATGCTCCACATTGATAATTATCAGAGAAATGCTAATTAAAACCACAATGAGGTATCACCTCACACCAGTAAGGATGGCTACCATCCAAAATGCAAACAACAACAAAAGTTGGTGAGGCTGTGGAGAAAGGGGTAGCCTCCTACACTGCTGGTGGAAATGTAAATTAGTGCAATCATTGTGGAAAGCACTATGAAGGTTCCTCAAAATGCTCAAAATAGACATACCATTTGACCCAGGAATTCCACCCCTAGGAATTTACCCTAAGAATGTAGCACTCCAGTTTGAAAAAGGTAGATGCACCCCTATGTTTATCATAGCACTATTTACAATAGCCAAGAAATGGAAGCAACCAATGGAGTATTATTCAGCCACAAGAAGAAAACAAATCCTAAAATTTGCAACAACATGGATGGAGCTGGAGGGCATTATGCTCAGTGAAATAAGCCAGGAAGAGAAAGACAAATACCAAATGATTTCACTCATATGTGGAGTATAAGAACAAAGAAAAAACTGAAGGAGCAAAACAACAGCTGAACCACAGAACCCAGGAATGGTCTAACAGTTACCAAAGGGAAAGAGACTGGGTAGAATAGGAGGGTAGGGAGGGATAAGGGCGGGGAAGAAAGGGGGCATTATGATGAGCATGTATAATGTGCTAGGTGGGGAAAAGGGAGGGCTGTACAACACAAAGAAGAAAAAAAGTGATTCTACATCTTACTATGCTGATGGACAGTAACTGTAATGGTGTTTGTGGGGCATACTTGGGGTAGGGGAGAGCCTAGTAAACATAATGCTCTTCATGTAAGTGTAGATTCATGATAACAAAATAAAAATTAAAAAATTAAAAAAAATACACCATCCTACTATGCTGATGGACAGTGATTGTAATGTTGTATGTGGGGGGAACTTAAGTGATTGGGTGAGTCTAGTATACATAATCTTCCTCATGTAATTGTAGATTAATGATACCAAACAAACAAACAAAAAACACAGATCTGAGGGGAAAAAATTTACTAAATCAACTCCAATTACCCAAAAATAAGGCTTTGTTTCTATTCTGGTAAATGAAGTCCAAGTTAATTAAAGAGCAGGGAAAGGAAAATGACGGTAAGAATAGTGTGTGTTACCTTGACTTTTTGTAAGTGAACAGCCTGGTCTATCACCAAGGAATGAAAACACTTAATCTACATAGTAGAAGAAGAACGTCAGTTTTATACCTTAAAACTCAAATTTTAATCTCTAACTTTCAGACTGAATCAAGTATCCCAAACCGTTAGAATTAAATTATTCACATAATGGCAAATAACATTACATGAACTAACCATATACTTGAAGAAGTTTTTCAAAGGGTATCCACTGCTTTCCTGCAAGCCTGAGCCCAAGGTTAGATCAGCTGCCAAATGATAAACCACCACCAATTCCTCTCCCTACCCAAACAGTAATGTCTATGAAGTCCTCAAAACAGGAAATCAAACCAACTCTGCTTCCCCAAAGAACAAAATTTTTCAAGAGCTAACAAAAAGATCTAGAAAGATTTTAAAGAATTTAATACAGCTGACATTCTATTTATTTTATTTTGGCATCGTATAATTACATGAGCAACATTACGGTTACTAGATTCACAGTACCACGTCCCCACCATACAGCTGACATTTTAAATTCTCACTACCACCTAACAACCCATACGGCCTAGTTCTATTTGTCTCAGATTCTTCATGGGAAATAAATGGCAGTAATTTAACACATAAACAAATACAGTTTCTGAACAATATGGTATCAGTTCAGGTAATTTCACAGATAGAACATGTTTCCCACTTCCTTCATGCTTGTCCAGGAAACAACAAAAATGTATTGTTACTACATTAATTTTCTTCTAAACCAAGTTACCACTCAAAAAGAACCACAAGTCTCTTACTGTGCAGACTTGTCAATGTAATTCATGTGGAAAACAGAAGGGAAAAAAGCTTAAATTTAAAATTAGCAAATACAATGACATGTGAACATTAAGCTAATGAAGATTTTAGAGAGAAAAAAAATTACTTACTGCTTGTTGTACTTCCTCCTTCACTTTGATTATCAGAGGATTTCAGGTCTAGACCAGCAAACTGAAAGATAAGATATTAACAGCTCACATGCTGACACACGCATTACTACACTACTAAGGTAAAAATCAAGTATAGATAGCATTACAAACAAAATACAATACTCAACACTTAACATTCCCTTTAACCCTATATACAGGCTAGCTGCCCTGTCTGCAGCTGTTAAGAATGCCTTTTAAAAATCTTAAGTATAGTTGATACACAGCATACTACTGATTTCAACTGTAGAACATAGTGATTCAATACTTACACCCATTATGAACTGCTCACCATGAAAAATGTAGTTGCTGTCACCAAAGATACTAAAAATTACTTATAAACGCTACAAAGGACAAATGCAAAAGGCAGGACGCAAGCACCCCACTACAGATAGTTCAAACACCTTTATTCAAAGCAATTTTCCCTGCAAAAATTTTCCTTACTAAAAGATCTTTAATTATCAAACTAAATTGTGAATAATTTCTCAAAGCCACTCGTTTTCTGCTTGGTATTCTTTTAAGCCTAAAAACATCTACCCGACAAACGTTTAGCACAATTTGCAATCTCCTTAAATCACCTTATCTCAAGACTGATCAACTATTCAATTCGGTTATTCCCTAAGCAGAAACCCACCCCTCATCACCAACTGGCAGTTAAGCATTGTGGCACTTTACTAACACTGGATCATTCAACTGAAAAGCAGTTATTTCTCGCATTTCAGGGATTATAGTGTGGCACAACTGACATTTCATTCTTGTAAAAGTCTGTGTTCAATCTCAATTCCTACCTGCCAACACACTGGTGAGATTTCAACACCATAGAAAATGGTTATTCCACTTTGTTGCAGTGTAATTAACCAAAGAAGCTTAATTAAGTTCTATTTAGAAGCAGAACAGTTATATACACCAAACAACAACAACCACCACCACCACCCACAAAGAGCAATGAGGAATGTCACCAAATGTTACTAAGACAATAATGTTTATAAACACTGGGGTAAAAGTTCAAGATAACATTACCAAATTACACCAAGGGTCAACATTAACGCATTAAATCTGAATGATCACTTTTCCTGGACGAATTTGTTTACTACTTAATTCTAATGAGCCACGGGGTGTAGTTTTTCGAGAGTTAAACAGATTCCATTTGCACAGAAAATTTTACACGTCTGAATGCCTTTGCTCTAGATTTATGTTCAACTTTTGTGCTCTTTTAAACACGTCAAATCTCATAAAATTGCAGGCTTTTAACATAACGCATCGTTAGCAGGAAAACATCCTCATAAAAGCAAGCGGTGAAATCTATCAAATCCCTTAACTATACATGTAACTAAAATTTAGGCACAATTAGTGTCATTAAAATTGTTTCACAATTTAGTAGGAGTTTGACAGTTTGTGTAAAAAGTTATGCTCTATAAATTCCTTCTACTACACGTGGAAGACATAAGGGTGTGCCTTGAAAGTGCAAAACGACTCACTCACTGTTTCTCTGGAGAAAACACAGAAAAATGAAATAGAGCTCTCCTGGCTACTCAGACTACGTATCCTTTCCCCCATTCCCAGTATTTCGGCGAAAAATGTATTCTACTTAATTAGGGAAATCCTTAGCTTTGACTATTTCAAGGTTTCTCTCCTTAGGCACAATAAAGTCAGTACCAAACACCTTATCTACTCAGCTGATCCACTGTCCGAGTATTTTTCGTCTCGTTAACCCCAAAGTTCAAAGATTAACAGAAGAAGACGAACACCACAGTGTACCACTCCTCAAATACGCACTGCCCATGGCTAAACACTCATACCGTGACTTTCCTGATTTAGGAGAGGGAGTAGGGCAGTACTAGATCCCTAACCTCCAAAGAGTCTTCCAGCCTGCGTCCAGCTTCCCTTATCTCCAGTCACCGGTTAAGGGAGGCACACGGAGGCCGTTTGTCCCTCGTCTAGTGACTGTTCCGGCTCTCCTGCATCACAAAACTTTCCACTACTGAAACGCAGCCTCGTCAATGGCAGCACCTGGCTTATTACAAGGAGGCAGAAGGCCCGCGAGACAAAACTAAATAACTGTTTCATAGTATATTTTGTAGTCAGTCATTCATCAGACCCACTCCCACTGACCCAGATCGGGTGGGCCTCAGCCTGGTTATCCGACCACAGCGAGGCACAGCCAAACAGCCTAAACAAAGGGGCCACCGCAATTACCACTAAGAGACGGCCCCACCTCTTCCCGACGCTCTTACATTCCGCGGCCGCAAACTACTCTCATCCGCACACCAACGACACTGCCAAGCTTTAATCAAGGCCGACCAATGACAACCAGGCCCCTCGTACCCCTTCGCGTACTTCCATCCATTTACTAATTATCGCAGAAGCCGCCACTGTGGGCAGCCGGGTAAGATACCTGAGGGGAGCCTGTCCCAAGCAACAGTGAAACTCGGCAATACTGCCGCCTCTGCACAAGCTTAACAGGGTTTTTTTCGTCAGCCTAGACGCCCACTCACCGCAAGGCACAGACACCCAGGGGAAGGAAACTTTAAGGCGTCTAGTTTCCATTACGCCATAGGCTACCTTAAGCAGGGAAGGTGGAGCACGCACAGCCCAGAAGGCACATTTTGGCTTACCTGCTGGTCCAGCTCAAGCTCACTCATGCCAGAAGGGAACCGAGAAATCGGAACTTTCCATCTTCTATCCAGCGTTGTCCGTTCTGTGTATTCCTCTTATGTTCTCTGGGCAACCACCCCCTTTACATATAGATGACTAAATCTCGTTAGATCTGCTTATAACCTCGCGGGATCTCCGGTTAATCGCGTTCCCCGAAACTCTCAGAACTCGCGAGAACTTTATTACTTCCGTCCTTCTCCACCGTCTTGGAATTCTTGGGAGCTGAGAATAACCCGTCATTCCTCGACTATCGCGAGAGCTTAAACGTAGTGCCAAATTCCCTTTAAATCCTCTCCTCCGTGTTTTCCTACGTTTCCTTCTTTGCTGAGCTATCGTTCTTTTCCTTTTCAGTTCCAGTAGTCAGAATTTACACAAAATGTTTACTAGCCTTCACCTGCCTTTGGGAAGTTTTTATTACGCCAAAATATTAAAACACCCATAGTACGCATGGTGTGCGGGATCACCGGGAGAACAGTGTAGGACAGAGAAGGCACACAGTGGATCTGTGGCGTCTTCTGCGCTGATGGACAGTGACTGCACTGGGGTATAGGTGGGGACTTGATAATATTCGTAAGTGTAGTAATCACATTGTTTTTCAGGTGAATGTGAAACCTAAGTAAGAGTGTCTATCAGTAATACCTTAATAAAATAATCACAAAAAAAACCAGTCGGGGCGGGGCCAGGATGACGGCGTGAGTAGAGCAGTGGAAATCTCCTCCCAAAAACACATAGAGCTATGAAGATATAACAGAGAAAACTCTTCCTAAAATAGAGACCAGAGGACACAGGACAACATCCAGAGCACATCCACACCTGCAAGAACCCAGCGTGTTGCAAAGGGGGTAAGATACAAGCCTCGGCCCGGCGGGACCCAAGCACCCCTCTCCCCAGCTCCTGGCGGGTGGAAAGAAACCGGAGCGGTTTTTTTTTTTTTTTTTTTTTNTGCTTTTTGGAAGCCTTAAAGGGACAGGGACCCCGGTGCTAGGGAGGCAGGGCGGCGGGACCGGTGAGCGGGTGCCTGGGACTGGCGCTTGAGGACAAAGAATGTCATGCGTTTTTCCCTATGGGACCGGTGGGTGGGTGTCTGAGACCGGCGCCTGAGGACGGAGGAAATCACGAGTTTCCCCCCTTTTTTTTCTCTGTTTGGCGAGTGCTTTTTGAAGCCTTAAAGGGACAGGGACCCCGGTGCTAGGGAGACAGAGCAGCAGGACCGGTGAGCGGGTGCCTGAGACCAGCACCTGAGGACGAAGGAAATCCTGCGTTTCCCCCCCTTTTTTTTTCTCTTTTTGGCAAGTGCTTTTTGGAAGCCTTAAAGTTACAGGGACCCCGGTGCTAGGGATTCAGAGCAGTAGGACCGGTGAGCAGGTGCCTGGGACCGGAGCCTGAGGACAGAGAATGTCACGCGTTTTTCACTGCGGGACCTGTGGGCGGGCGCTTTTTGGAAGCCTTGAAGGGACAGGGACCCCAGTGCTAGGGAGGCAGGGCGGCGGGACCAGTGAGTGGGTGCCTGGGACCAGCGCCTGAGGACAAAGACTATCACACGTTTTTCCGTATGGGACTGGTGCGCGGGTGCCTGAGACTGGTGCCTGAGGACGGAGGAAATCACAAGTTTCCCCCCCTTTTTATTCTCTTTTTGGCAAGTGCTTTTTGAAGCCTTCAAGGGACAGGGACCCCAGTGCTAGGGAGGCAGAGCAGCAAGACCGGTGAGTGGGTGCCTGGGGCCAGCGCCTGAGGACAAAGAATATTGCATGTTTTTCCCTACGGGACTGGTGGGCGGGAGCCTGAGACCAGAGCCTGAGGACGAAGGAAATCATGCGTTTTTCCCGCTTTTTTTCTTTTCTTGGCGAGTGCGTTTTGGAAGCCTTAAAGTGACAGGGACCCCAGTGCTAGGGAGGCAGAGCAGCAGGACCACTGAGGAGGTGCCTGGGACCGGACACTGAAGACAAAGAATATCACGCATTTTTCCCTGCGGGACCTGTGGGCAGGTGCTTTTTGGAAGCCTTGAAGGACAGGGAACCCGGTGCTAGGGAGGCAGGGCAGCTGGACCAGTGAGCAGGTGCCTGCGACTGGCACCTGAGGATGGTGAAAATCACGCATTTCCCCCCTTTTTTTTTCTCTTTTTGGTGAGTGCTTTTTGGAAGCCTTAAAGGGACAGGGACTCCGGTGCTAGGGAGACAGGGTGGCAGGACTGGTGAGTGGGTGCCTGGGACAGGGGCCAGGGGACAAAGAATATCCCACGTTTTTCCGGCGGGACCTGAGGGCGGGTGCCTGAGAACTATGCGAACAATCCAAAAGGAATAATATTCGTACTATAGGGGTACCAGAAGAAGAAGAAAGAGGAAAAGGGATAGAAAGTCTCTGAACAAATAATTGCTGAAAACTTCCCCAAACTGGGGGAGGAAATAATCGAACAGACGAGGGAATTACACAGAACCCCCAACAGAAAGGATCCAAGGAGGACAACACCAAGACACATATTAATTAAAATGGCGAGGATCAAGGACAAGGAAACAGTTTTAAAGGCAGCTAGAGAGAAAAAGGTCACCTATAAAGGAAAACCCATCAGGCTAACATCACACTTCTCGACAGAAACCCTACAGGCCAGAAGAGAATGGCATGATGTATTTAATGCAATGAAACAGAAGGGCCTTGAACCAAGGATACTGTATCCAGCACGACTATCATTTAAATATGATGGCGGGATTAAACAATTCCCAGACAAGCAAAAGCTGAGGGAATTTGCTTCCCACAAACCACCTCTACAGGGCATCCTACAGGGACTGCTCTAGATGGGAGCACCCCTAAAAAGAGCACAGAACAAAACACACAACATATGAAGAATGGAGGAGGAGGAATAAGAAGGGAGAGAAGAAAAGAATCTCCAGACAGTGTATATAACAGCTCAATAAGCGAGCTAAGTTAGGCAGTAAGATACTAAAGAAGCTAACCTTGAACCTTTGGTAACCACGAATCTAAAGCCTGCAATGGCAATAAGTACATATCTTTCAATAGTCACCCTAAATGTAAATGGACTTAATGCACCAATCAAAAGACATAGAGTAATAGAATGGATAAAAAAGCAAGACCCATCTATATGCTGCTTACAAGAAACTCACCTTAAACCCAAAGATAAGCATAGACTAAAAGTCAAGGGATGGAAAAACATATTTCAGGCAAACAACAGTGAGAAGAAAGCAGGGGTTGCAGTACTAATATCAGACAAAATAGACTTCAAAACAAAGAAAGTAACAAGAGATAAAGAAGGCCACTACATAATGATAAAGGGCTCAGTCCAACAAGAGGATATAACCATTCTAAATATATATGCACCCAATACAGGAGCACCAGCATATGTGAAGCAAATACTAACAGAACTAAAGAGGGAAATAGACTGCAATGCATTCATTGTAGGAGACTTCAACACACCACTCACCCCAAAGGATAGATCCACCGGGCAGAAAATAAGTAAAGACACACAGGCACTGAACAACACACTAGAACAGATGGACCTAATAGACATCTATAGAACTTTACATCCAAAAGCAACAGGATATACATTCTTCTCAAGTGCACATGGAACATTCTCCAGAATAGACCACATACTAGCTCACAAAAAGAGCCTCAGTAAATTCCACAATATTGAAATTCTACCAACCAATTTTTCAGACCACAAAGGTATGAAAGTAGAAATAAATTCTACAAAGAAAACAAAAAGGCTCACAAACACATGGAGGCTTAACAACATGCTACTAAATAATCAATGGATCAATGAACAAATCAAAATAGAGATCAAGGAATATATAGAAACAAATGACAACAACAACACTAAGCCCCAACTTCTGTGGGATGCAGCGAAAGCAGTCTTAAGAGGAAAGTATATAGCAATCCAGGCACACTTGAAGAAGGAAGAACAATCCCAAATGAATAGTCTAACATCACAATTATTAAAACTGGAAAAAGAAGAACAAATGAGGCCTAAAGTCAGCAGAAGGAGGGACATAATAAAGATCAGAGAAGAAATAAACAAAATTGAGAAGAATAAAACAATAGCAAAAATCAACGAAACCAAGAGCTGGTTCTTTGAGAAAATAAACAAAATAGATAAGCCTCTAGCCCAACTTATTAAGAGAAAAAGAGAGTCAACACAAATCAACATAATCAGAAATGAGAATGGAAAAATCACGACAGACTCCACAGAAATACAAAGAATTATTAAAGACTACTATGAAAACCTATATGCCAACAAGCTGGAAAACCTAGAAGAAATGGACAACTTCCTAGAAAAATACAACCTCCCAAGACTGACCAAGGAAGAAACACAAAAGTTAAACAAACCAATTACAAGCAAAGAAATTGAAACAGTAATCAAAAAACTACCCAAGAACAAAACCCCGGGGCCGGACGGATTTACCTCGGAATTTTATCAGACACACAGAGAAGACATAATACCCATTCTCCTTAAAGTGTTCCACAAAATAGAAGAAGAGGGAATACTCCCAAACTCATTCTATGAAGCCAACATCACCCTAATACCAAAACCAGGAAAAGACCCCACCAAAAAAGAAAATTACAGACCAATATCCCTGATGAATGTAGATGCAAAAATACTCAATAAAATATTAGCAAACAGAATTCAACAGTATATCAAAAGGATCATACACCATGACCAAGTGGGGTTCATCCCAGGGATGCAAGGATGGTACAACATTCGAAAATCCATCAACATCATCCACCACATCAACAAAAAGAAAGACAAAAACCACATGATCATCTCCATAGATGCTGAAAAAGCATTTGACAAAATTCAACATCCATTCATGATAAAAACTCTCAGCAAAATGGGAATAGAGGGCAAGTACCTCAACATAATAAAGGCCATATATGATAAACCCACAGCCAGCATTATACTGAACAGCGAGAAGCTGAAAGCATTTCCACTGAGATCGGGAACCAGACAGGGATGCCCACTCTCCCCACTGTTATTTAA